AAATTTGTGCAGCACATTATCGAAGTTATATTTCTACATTATCCCATCTTGTAATATTTTAAGGTTACCTAGAAGTTACTTAAAGAGGACAATCCTCTGATCAGCAGCCACCATAACTGATGCTGGCTTACTCTGCTACATATCTCTCTAGTTCAGTGGTTCTCAACCCTTTTAATGCCGTGACCCCCCAATCAGTCGTAAGTCGAGGACTATCCAACCGGTCGTAAGTCGAGGACTTTCCCTGCCCAGGAGCGCCGCGCATGCGTGGTGCCGCCCCCTGCGCTGGCCGAGGCGTAGCTGGCAAGCAGCAGAGACGGAGCAGGCCGACCACTGGCTGGGCCACCAGCTGGCCCAGCCCAAGGGAGGTAAGGCACCCACCGGGCCCCACGCGCGCTAGCAACCCTCCTTGCGCCTACCGGCCTCCCACCTCCCACCCCTGGCCCTCTTTTACTTACATTTTTAGTAGTTGCTCAGCAGGGAGGGTGGAAACTTCCAGACAGCTCACCTTCTTTGCAGACAACTTGCAGCACCGTTTGCAGAATGGGACTTTTGGCAGGCTCAGCAGGGCAGAGACAGCCTGGAAAATTCCTATTGGCTTTTGAAAGCCAATAGAATTAGACTCTATTCAAGAGAGTCTATTCTATTGGCTTTCAAAAGCCAATAGAATAAAAGGGAGTAGCACAGCTAAGGAAAAGGGGGAAAAATGGCGGACTGTGTTGTTTGGCGACCCCCCGTGAAATGGTTGTTCGACCCCAAATGGGGTCGCAACCCACAAGTTGAGAACCAGTGCTCTAGTTGATTCTCAGAGGAAAAAAAAGAAAATTTTGATTCCCAGAGAAAACTGCAGCATTTTCATTTAGTTGAAATATTTGAAAAATACTGCACTGCATTTCTGTGAAAAAGAACTAAAGAAACACCAAGCATTGCCATTATCTATGTTTGCACACTTAACAATGATATTGCTATTTGCATCTGTGTATGTTTTTATTTCATAACACAATACATTATGGCTAGGTGGAAAATGTGGTAAGAGAGAGATTTATCTTACTGACCACAAACACCATACATTTTATCACGGTACAATCAACAGGAGTGCAGCTATATAAACATTCCTTATGCACAACACCAAGCTTTGAAACAATTATATAATAGCAAAGCATCAATCGATAAGAATATTTGTAGTTCAGAGTTGAAATGAGGGGTCCTTGGTGCTCTCTGAGCTTGGTTGTTTTCTTGCAGACGTTTCATTACCCAAACTAGGTAACATCATCAGTATTGAGCATGATGATGAAATGCTGCAAGAAAACTTCCAAGCTCAGAGAACACCAAGGACCTCTCAAAGATTTAACTCCAAGCTTAGGACATGCCATGGTAGAGACTACTAGAAGAGAGGCAATTTCCCTATCATGTCCTCTAAATGTATAGTTAAGTGGGCAATACATTTGCCAGGATATGGCTAAAAATCAGTGACTTGTTTCGCCTGATTTTAATAAATGTGCATTGGGTTCTGGCTTCCTCCATCCAGAAGAAAAACTTAAGAAGGAAGTCATAAGTCAACTATGAACAAGGAATAACTTCCTTTTCTGGTTTCTTTTGAACAGATTATTTCATGTCACTCATACCTGCTGGTTTGAAGAGCCAGCAGTCACAAATGATTGAATTTACTATTAATTCTAAATTTAGGTACGTATGATGTCACCTAGTCAGTGAAGCTTAATTCTGAATTTTCTGAATTTCTGAAATATATCTTTCTTAACCTTTGGCCCAGATGTGCAAACTTATTGCACACACTCAGCCCACATGCTTCAGTTTGGGGTATGGATACAGGCTGTGCTGAATTAATTGTGCTGCTGATTTAGGGAAGGAAAAAAATACAGATATTGCTTCTGGTCCTTGGGAGGAAAAGCTGAATTGTACCTGCTGAGGAAAAAATAGGGCCAATTCAAATCAATGTCCAGAATCTTTCTTTGTCATGACAACATTTAGGTGCTCTGCTTTTTAAATGATCTTTCTATCAGGAACGCTAGCTGGGAGTAAAATATATATATATATATATCTTTATAGAAATAAAGATTGTTCTTTAACAAAGAATTTCTTTTTTGACAAGCATAATGTTTAAGAATTTCCTAGAGGTTCTGATAAAGCTCCCTCTTATGTTCCTAGAAATGAAGGGGAGGAAAGAATCAAATGTTCTTGCAACCACTGATAGTTAAAGTGTTCTAAAAACAGATTCCTCAAAGACTTTTGAAGCAAACTTGGAAAAATAACAGGATCTGGAAAAAAAAGGAAGCCTTTTCAATTAAATTGTCCAATTTTTGAAAAGGGAGTTCCAAGTCTCAGCTAGGAAGAAATGTCATAAAGTATTTTGTTTATTTTGGAACACCAGGACGCTGTCTCAAAGCAACAGTAAAAGGCTGAACATTTGTAATCAACAGCAAAAAACAACCCTGATTTTTTGATTGCATGAGTGAAGCTCTTTTCCTGAGATACTAGAAATATATTCCTCTGACATTTTTGTTCACTTGCCTCTTTCAAAGCTGATTCACAAAGCCCACATTTGAAGTAGCAGTCTTCCCACTGAAATATTTGATTCCTTGGGATTAATACAAGGTCTTGCAAAAGCTCTCTGAATTGTGATCTTATCAGGGAGGGGCTCCCCCCCCAAGAATAATTGCAATCCTTACATTAATTCTATAGGGCAGACTATTATAAATATCCCCCTCACATTCCAACACTGTATATGCTAAGTTGGGGGAATAGGTTGAACCTTGTGGAGGCCAATCCAGCACCATGGAATAAGTTCTTGATGGAGAAGATATCTGAGCAGGAATAGCATAGCATAGCATAGCATAGCATAGGACAGGACAGGTCAGTTGGAAGGGACCTTGGAGGCTCAGGCAGGAAACCTGAGAAATTGTTGTCCAATCTCTTCTTAAAAACCTCCAGTGTTGGAGCACCAACAACTTTTGGATACTTGAGCATTGTCCCAAATCATTTTACTTCCTGATCTGAAGAAGATGGTGTTCATCCTACATGGAAGAGAATGGTCAGACAGCTGAAATACTGATGATGGGACAGAAACCTCCATTGCACTGGGTCACTAGGCCAATGACAGACACCTTTCAATAGCCCAATGTTGTTCTCTGCACCTACAGCCTTTGCATCCAGTGGTAGCCACTTCATCTGTTGAACACAATTAGCTCAAGCACAATTAGCAAATGACACTAATTCTCAATGAGTTATCAATATGATGTCTAATTCCATCACGATTGTAATGGCATTGGTCAGTGATGCGTATGCACCAGATACCCAAACAGTCATACATTGTAGTTATCTGTCCATTTTCCTGTTGTTTGTCTACACTCAGTTTTAGACAGAAATTGTATCAGGATTTATAAGGACCAGCCTTCCCAAGACAACTTCCATATAATGACCCATTTCCGGCAAGGGCAGTATATCAGGTAGATAGGATTATTAGTAGGCTTGTGAACTGGAGGCTGGAGGCTGTGAAGAAGGAATGAATTGCAATGATGCCATAGCAAATCTTTCTGAATCTTAGAGACTGATTTCAAAATTATCTGAATAATCCCAAGAATCAAAGAAGAAATGTTCAGGGATGGAAACAATGGATAATAACAGTATTCTCAAAGCTGCATGTAACAAATGTCCAGATATTCCCCTACTGGGAGACAGGAAGTTTGAGTTCCCCTCCCCAGGGGTAACTGGAGAGATAGGCCCTGTGAGGAATCCAAGGAAAAAACAGGCTGACCCTCTATGCAGCCGGACTACAGACAAGATGAAGTTGGGATTGAAAGCATTAGGCCCAAATGCGCTAAGCATCTTCACCTTTTCACAGCAGCAGCATTCTTAAATGCAAGTCCCAGTCTGAAATTCTGAAGTACTGTGGTCCCCTGGCTGATGGTTTGGTACAGCAATGTAAACACCTTTATTAATAATATATAACAGTGATAATTAAGAATGAGATATTCCAGCCATGCCAGCTAATTATATACCATTTATCAAAGTGGCATCTTGAAATCATCTTTAGCTTTACATAATAAGAGAGTCATAGCTTACATTATTAATATGGAGACACACAATATGGGCCGCTACTAATTTGATCTTTGTTTCTTTTAGTCACTTAAGAACAGATCAATGGTCCAATTAATCCAGGGATGGATAGTCTTCTCTGATTCTCTTTTATGATCATTGCAGCCTCTCCCTTGTTATGAGTGTGTAAACAATTCCACACCAGTTGTAAGTATGCATTCAAATTTGCAGAAAGATGTCATATTTAACTTTGTGTCACAGACTCCTCAGACTTGAACAAGCAAGTTGCCAATCTCAGAAGCCAGCAGTCAATCATCCCTAGGATATGATGGCAGCTTCAAAGTCAAACTAAGGCAATATCCTTGGTTCCTCCAAGCCAATGCACATAAGTGAGCCCTACTTGCATCTAGCATATTTAAGAACATTGCCAGTGATTGGCTCTTTGTTGGAAACATCTCACCATTTCTCTGTCCTTGCTTCCTGCTCTGCTCTAAGAGTGATGACTTTGATGGAGATCCATCACTCTGGCTTAACTCCATCAAGGTGATTTTACTCAATCTCTACACCTGAGAGCCCCTTTGTGAAGGAGATGGGCAGTTAAGAAGTTTCAGATAGATACATAGACAGACAAACGAACAGACACAGACAGACAGATAGATAGATAATATGATAGACAGACAGACAAATTCTGCCCTTCAATTCTGGCTGGATGACTAAACTCTCTGGCAGGATTCTTGGTCTGTCATGGACCATGTTTGCTTCTTTGTTGTTGTCATAATCCACTTCCTTGAAATTGTCAAGGAATATTTTGTTACAGGTTCCTTTTGTATTGTACAGTTGTGTCTTAATCTCAAACCATCTGGGAAAGTTTGAACTTGTATATCAAACTCATAAAACAAATAGCCAGATATTATGTACACACTACTACATATAAGAACTAGTAGTCAACATGTAATCAAACCAGCAAGGTATTTATTAGTGTTAGTAGCAACTGTTATATTATTCATCTTTATTACATAAAGGTTTTCCACATAATGTGAATTCTTTTTAATAGAAATAAGGACTTTAAAAAAAAAAAAGAACCCAGAAATTTAAAGCTGAAAAGTCAAAATCTTCCATCCACTCCAAATTCCTGTACTACCGATTTCTGAATGGCTTGATGGATATTGGTTATTTCCTTCTGAGTCAGGGTCTTTTCGAAGTGCCGGTAAGTGATCTTGTAACAATGGCTGACCCTTTTTGTCCTAGGGAAACAACAACAACAACAACAAAATCAGTTCCTGGTGTTAATTTGTACAAAATTATACATATTTGGAAGGAGAAAAGAAAAAAGTTTATCCTTGAAGTTATTTTATGCTTTTCTTGCTGTGGCGTTTAATTATATTTTTCAAGTTACCAATACAATGGATAGAGTCAGTCTTAAGCCCTTTTTATAATGAATAATTAACCTCCCCAGAGGAAGAAGAAAACTCCAGTTGAGTTCTGGTTGTTTTTCAAATGGACACCATATTGCTTGTTCATATTTTTTCCTTCTTTCCTGTCCAATGCAAATTCTTGCACCAGACATATATATCCTCCTGAAGATATGCTAGCATGAAGACAATTCACATGTAAAGAGTCTGAATAGAGGAGATAGCTTGTCGGAGGCTGCACTGAAGTACTATTACCACAAGAAAGAGACAACCTAGAGACAACCATAATCTTTAGTGACCTGTTTGACATAGTTCATATTGCTCAAACATCTACAACTAATAGCCCCCTGTACAGTAGTGGCCAAAATTGTGGAAACCTTTTGGGAAAAGTGTATTTTTGAGGTTTGATGGCTAATAACACCACTTTTTTTGGGAGTAGTACTGTAAAATTATATATCAATGGAAAGATAATTTAATCAAGAATGTAATGCAACAAAGTTTGTTCAATTATCTGTACTGTATTCTATGAAAAGTTATTGCCAAATAACCAGAAAAAGGAAGCACAACTTGCTTAGGTTGATATCAGGTAGCTTTCCTTCATTTGATTGTCGCCAATGAGCATGAGTGTTTAAGAGAGCCAATCAGCTGTCATCTTGTTTTGGCAATGAGCCAATCAGATCACAGTAGGATTCAATTATTGATGTCATGTACTGAAGCTGAGAGGAGGACATTTGTCAGTGTGTTATGTGATTGGTTGGATTTTTTTGTGTTCTTTCATTTAGTGAGCTTGTAAAACATAATAAAATTAAAGTAATGATGCAAAGAGTTGACTGGTTGCCCAGAAAGCAATGTAAAATAATATTATTACGTGAACAAGCCTACAGTTATAAAGAAATTAGAAGAAAAATTGGTGAAAACTTAACCAAAGGTGGCATTTCTACTGTATACTTTTCCCAAAAGGTTTCCACAATTTTGGCCACTACTGTAGAATAACAAATTATTCTAAATAGAGATTTACCTATAGGAAGGCAGAATAAGAATGTGCATATTCTAAGGACCAAGTAAATCATTGCTGTTACAGCTGAGATCAGTCTGAAGCTCCTCTAAGTTGTAATCCAACTGCTCAATGACAAATAAAACAAATAAAAAGGTGGGTGGCAGGAGGCTGAGAGTTCTATACGTTTTGTGGAGTAAATGCTTTGTTTAACATATAATCCTCACAAGAAAGAGTTTTGACATTGTTTTTGAAGGAACATCTATTTATTGATGCATCCATATGCAGCTGTCCCAAAAGAGAAAAAAAAGGCAAGTATATATGTAGTCATGTATTTATAAATAAGACTCATATGGCTATCCAGCTTGTCAAACACAATGGTGGGTGGTTCACAGCAATAATAGAAACAAAGACAATAAAACCAAGAAAGCCAGGTGACTTATCCACAATCTTCCATCCATCAAACCACAGAGTCTTCGGGTTTCAATCTCACCTCATCACACTGCCTGGAAGACTCATAGTACAAGAACGCATCTTCATTAGTAATACCTAAAGAGACTGAATGGCCATCTGTTTGGGATGTTATAAGCTGAGTTAGGCAATCTGGACCACGAGAAGCCTATGTTGACCCCAGTAATTTATTAGCACTCTGAAACCACATCATATCATTCAACAGGAAAATCACTGATTGCCATTGGTATGGGTTTTCATTTTTCTTACCCCAAAGAAGAGTCAAAGTAGAAGTGTTTTGCTGAAAAGGTTGCCTATTCCTGCTCTAAGGAAAGGTCTTCCTCTATCACCAAGAAGCTAATTGAGATTGCTTTTAACCCTATCACAGGGTTCATCCTTTGCACAAAACTATAATTTGTTTAACCGTGGTTTAATAGCGATAAACCAGAACTGTTTGTTTGCTTATGCTAGCCATTAGTATGGTTTACAAACGATAATAGTCAATATGCTAAGCCAAAACCAAATAAACCATGTTATCATTTAGATTCAGTCCAAAGCCAGTGATTTTAATATCTCATTTTCTACTCTTTAATCAAATCAGTATTATTTATGTTTTTCCCTTCCCCCCCAAAAGCTGTCATTTATATTGAATGCTTTACTTCTTTAAAAAAAAAACCAATGCATCTCTCATTAATTATCTGCTCACGAGTTAAATCTCTTATTGTGACCCCCATTCTTAGAAGTAAACGGTTTTACTCTCATTATTATTACTATTGTTGTTGTTGTTAAATTTATTTGCAACTCTGGGTGGTTTATAACATTAAAAGCTATAAAACCATAGCACATAAATATTATAAAAGCAATAAAAATAGCATTACAATCAGAGAAAGGTTACAGTTAAAAGATGGGTGGGAGGGAGTGGGATTGCCGGGGGGGGGAGGTGAGATCTCCTCTTAATCCATTAACCACCTCCTGCGTGATGTTTTCCTGTTGGGGTCCCACACCAACAGGCATTAGGTCCTTGTGGAAGGTGAGAAGGGTGGGAGCAGATCTCACTTTGGGGGGGGGGAGGCAGTGGTGGTAAGACTTTCTCAAAGGATAGGAGCCATGGCAGAAAGGCCTCTTCTCCTGGACCCCGCCAGCTGGATTTTTTTGACTGACCAGGCCTGCAGCATGCCTCTTCTGCCGATGTAGGTGGGGCGGGTCAGTCCCATTGGGGTGAGATGGTTTCTTAAGTAACTTGGACCCATGCCTGTCTATGCTTGTCTCTTTCCCTTTTTTACCCTTCTAAGATATTTAAGTATCTGTAAAAGACTGGGCAGTTACAAGAGGCATGCTGGTTCAACTGTTTTACAGAAAAGAATAATATTTCATAACCCTGTACGGCTTGTAGCACTACTTTAAGAAACAAACAAAAGCCACAACCCAACTTCAAAAACAACAACCAGGCAAGGAAAAAAAAAATAGCAAGCATGCCTTGGGCAGTGAAAACTCTGCAGAACTACTTCAGTAAGATCTCTCTGCACTGCTATTGTTTGTGAACTACCTGTATCCAAATTGAATCTCTTATCCTTGGCAACCAATACTGGCAATAAAGCCCAAGCAGCTGCACCAAGGTCATGTTGTAAATAATGGTATTTTGTAGACACTGGTCTTTAATTGCTAGAGGTTGACTCCCAACTACATCATGATATTTCTTGAGCTGGACACTTTGAAGCAGAAAAAAAATAAATAGAGAAACTATAAGAGAGAAAACAAATAACAGGCAGGAAAAAACCCCAAATCTTTTAAACGTCGGCCAATACTTCATTAACATTAGTTTTGGAAACAAACAGAATCATGGACAAAGGAGAAGCAAAACTAAATGGATCTGACATGATAATAGCTTTCAGCCTTTGTCTCAAATAATCCACTTATCTCAAACAGATCCAAATCTATAACTTGCAATCAAGCTTGAGCTCAAACAACAAGTCCCATTTGACTTTCTGTGTGCGTACGCTTTAAAAGAATTCTGCCTTTAATAATAGTACTAGTCCATTTTTTTCATACTGGGGAAAATAGACCTCAGATGCCTGTTGTTCAAGGCAACCGATCACACTGCGGCTTTGTGTTTTGTTGATTGGGTTGTTTGCCTCCAAATCTTGGACATTGAGTCAGGTGTGTAAAAATAAAAAGGGGTTTGTTTTTCTTGTGGGTCCTGCCTAGTTCCATGAAAAGGGATTTTTCCTCGTGACTAAAGCAGTTGAGCAAATACTCGCATAAGCTGGGACAGAACACCTAACACCTTATGACTGAGCAGTCCTCACTTAATGACCACAATTGGGACTGTTGTGATTGCTAAGTGGCACAGTCATGTGATATTTCACTTAATGACTGCTTCGCAGAAATGCTGATGGAAATTAGGGCCATAATCCGAGGACTACAGGTAAATGGAGGTGTTAGATTGTGGGAGGCTCCACATACCGCGCCTAACGCTGAATCTGAGAAGGACACTGTTAGCGTTTCTCACTATTAGCCATGTTGGCTGGGCTTCCTTGTAATTTTGCAACAACCCATAGATTAGAAGTCCTATCAATATGACCTGAGGTTCAGTACATTTCCCTAATTAGTCACAAGATCAACCAGAACTAATAACGAAGAACTAATGGTGCCTTTTGCTGCAAAAATATTTCAGTGATACCATAAAAACTAATCAATTAATAAACTTTTGTGGATTACAACCCACTTTAGTAGTTGTGTAGAAATTTTCCCGTGAGAAGACTTTGATTATGTGTGGTTGTAGAGAATGGGACAGGAATAGCAAAAGGAGATAACAGGGGGAAATAAAATCTAGTTGGCAGTGCAGATAAGGACAATTATCTCTGGATACAGTAACCTATATTCTTTTATATTGCTCCTATCAGAAAGATGCAGAATTGCAATTAATAATACCCCATCTACTCAGGATTTTCAGGCCACTCGCCTCCTTTTATTTACATTATCTATCATTTATTTACATTACCATCATCTAATCAATGTGATATTATTTTTCTTCATGTGTCTGAGGTTTGGGGTTTTTTTGGCTATTCACAAAATATATTATGCCTTGGCACACCTGTTTTATCATTATTGGTTTTTTACTGTGGTTTTTGCTTGCTGTTTCAAACTTTTTTTCCTTTTCTGTTTTTGAGTCAGATTACAAGGACTGTAATAAAGTTGTCTTGTCTTGTCTCGGGACACAGTTCATTTTAAAGCTGACCATGACAGCTCTTGGCTCTACGTCAAAAGGTGACAAGATGACCAAGGTTCATGTAATGCTCCACAATCAATGAAAATATCATGTAAAGCAAAATGCTAACCGACAGAGCATCACTACAATGATGTAATTTATTCTTACTGATATTCAGCA